TATATATATACATACATACATGCATATATATATATATATAAAAGCATTTATACCTACGTACCCACCTGCACATGCGAACATGAATGTCTACGTCTACAGTGCTTCTTTCCATGGTCTTCGAAGTATACATATATGTATATATACATAGATATTAGAAATTAAAGAGGGAGTGAGAACCAGAAACGCAGGGCTCAGCGCGAGATGTCGATGCCAGCAAATACACAAACACACACACACACAACTACACACAAACACTTGTCCACTCACCCACCTCACTCACCCGCTCACTGAGTCACTCACTCACAAACCGGGAAAGTAGGGCATCGATGCTGAATTCGAGCGGCGCTGATTGTATACTGTACCCGCGGGTTTGAACCCCAGCGAACGCAAAGAGACTCGTGGAAGGTACGTCAAAGACAGCTGGGGTTTCAAGGCTCCACAAAGGAATGCTGGCCGCTCACTTCCAGATACTTGGTGCGAGGTGGAAACCTAGGCCCAAACCCTATTCTAAAGATTAAGGCCCCTAGATTAACTGACGCTTATAGATGTCCTGGAAGGCCGAAAATGAACGGAACATAGAACAGCGAACCTGATACATCAATACAACGATCTAAGCACCAAGAGACTTCCCGTCGATCTGTATTCTATTCTAATACGGTATACTATATTCTACTATACTATACTAGACTCTACGATACTATACTATATTACATTCTGAGTCTGCTATATTATAGTGAGTATTGCATTGTATCAATTCCCAAACCCTAAACCCTAAACCCAAAACCCTAAACCCAAAACCCTAAACCCCTAAACCCTAAACCCTCAATGTCTGAGTTGGCAAGCCTTGGAAGCTTCTGCTCCTTCGACCGCTTGCCCGGGGCCAGGTGCCGTTGCCAGCTTGGCGCAGGCGGCCTTCGGTTAGCGGTTTAGGGTTTAGGGTTTAGGGTTTAGGGTTTAGGGTTTAGGGTTTAGGGCTAGGGGAGCGGTTTAGGGTTTAGGGTTTAGGGTTTTAGGCCGGCTTTTTGGGACTGTTGTAGTGTAGAGGCCGTAATAATTCGAATAGGGTTTTGGGGCCCATTATACTATAAGTGTAACAAGGAACCCCCAATATAGTATAGGTATAAATATTGAGGCCCCTACATTAGGGGCAGTTCTAGGTTTCGGGCTTTTGGCAGAACAGTCACTCTGAGCACAATCACTCTGAGCTCGGGTTTAGGGTGTTGGGTAGTTATCTAAAGTAAGGCCCCGTTTAAAGTCTTGTTTTACAAGGGTGCCGCACGATTTTCGGACCTAGAAAAGGAACCTAAGTTAGAGAACTACCCATATAGAACCCTGGAGTACCTTCGTACAAACCCCATGGAAACCCCTATATTTACCCTTAAAGGAAACCCTAGAAAGGGACCCTACTTTAGAGAACTACCTGAAACTACCCACATCGTTTAGCTCGGGCTGGACCGGGGGCTTCGCGCAAGCACCCGCAGTGCCTGACCCGGGGAGTTTAGCTTTGTCTGGGGCTTAAGGGTTTAGGGTTTAATGTAGGGGCCTTAATAAATAGAATAGGGGGGCTCCTCATTAAGATTATAGTATATACCACCAAACCCTATAGTCTAATTATTCAGGCCCCTATATTACAGTAGAGTAGGGTTTCTGACGGTTGACCCTACAGCGCATGCAAGGGTTTCACATCTTCAGGGATTTGTTTGATCCGGGGTGCTCTTTGCTTGAGTTCGCCGCATCCTGGAGGAAAACCGCCAGCGCAGGTTGCGGAAGACTACAACAGGAAGATGGTCAATGTCAAGAGAGTTGATCGCTTGTGGACACACCATCCTTGTTGAGTGCAAAAAGCAAAGCTCCACTTTGCGCAGACATCTCTACGCTTAGCTGGTTCTCCGAAGAATCCGGGAACGGAGAGCTAAGAGGATGTTCTGTGCCAGCTACCTCGTCGTACCACTACAGATAAACTCCAATGAAATACTATTGACCCGGTTGCCTAAAAGCCGTATACCCCTATAAACCCTACATCCTAACCCTCTAAACCCTAAACCCTAGACCCTAAACCCTGAACCCTAGATTCCGAGCTACACAGCATGGCTGCACGCATGCATTATCCTGGATCGGATCCCAAGCTGCAGACCCTGTGAGTTTCTTCTTCCTCACAGGTGCTTCTCCCATATTCCCCGGGTTTAGGGTTTAGGGGGTTTAGGGGGTTTAGGGGGTTTAGGGGGTTTAGGGGGTTTAGGGTTTAGGGACGGTNNCGGTGCTTATGGAATGCTTAAGACGGGGGGTTCTCAAGGGGGGTATATATCCCAGTCATCCCTTGTTCTCCCTAGTGCTCCCCAAGCTTCCCTTAAAGTGTTCCCTAGAGCTGACTAAATTGTTGACGCCTTTTTCCGACTGCATGACTACCCATACTGCGAAGGAGCCCTTGCTAATTTAGGGTTGAGGGTTTAGGCTTCAG